TCGAACTTATATATGAAATCATAAATTTAAGTAACATGGTTATACCACCGAACTTACATTTTTTATTAATGAAATCTTAATTGGAAAATTGGAAAATATAAACTCATTAAAATAAATAAATCAAGTTACGGTACTTTATCTTTCCCGGTTTAGATTTTAGGGACTTCTAAAAAAAAACTAATTACGTTTTCTAAGTAAGCTGACTGTAGGAATACTTTCAGTTTTAAGTATTACTCTGCAGAGCGTTGTATACGTTCCTTAATAAACCAATTAGTCTCGAGGCTAGGTTCTAAAAAAAATCTCTGTCTATTTTATTAAATATTTTAAACTAGACCATTTAGGGCTCAGAGTTCTTGGTTGTGTCACGTTTGTCGGTTCGATCAATAATATTAGACAGAGAGTGTATTCCTGCAGAAAGTGAAAGCTAAAAGACATGATATTTATTATATGCACTGACGTGTATTAAAGATCAAGTAGAGAGTCCGTACAGCTTGTCTGTTTTAAGGTTTGTCTGTCTGTGATACTTTATAAAGCTGCATTTGGATATCTGTAGTCTAGAAATCTTCGGGTACTTTGACTTACATATACTAACAACATGCTTCGTACTGTCTGTTTATCTATATAATTGTTTGTTTGTCCACCAGGCGGCACCAGAGTGTCTAAGGTTGTTTATCTAGCCCTTTGGTCAAACTTGAAATTCTTTTAAATTCAATTTGCTTGTTTGTTTTAGAGCAAAGCTACATGGGGCTATCTGCTGTGTTTCAACAGCTTGAAATCGAACCCCGAATCTTTATGCTGTAAGTCCATAGACTTACCCCTGTCCCATCGGGAGGATTTAAAGTTAAATTGTCAAAGTTTAAAAAACCACAAGTGTACCTGCGTGCTTTGCTTATATGTAGTTCTCAATGAAATCGGTTTCACAAAAGACACACAGCTATGAATGCTCAAGAAGTGCAACGACAAAAACCAGAATATTAAAAATGACTGAATTTGTATATATATATACGTACACAGAGGAGAAAATGAAATTAGCAAGAACACCTTTTTCGCTTAGCGAATATCGAAACCACTGAAAGGTTTTTATTTTACCTTTTCTGAAAAATACACAAATAAATATTAATATGCTTATGACTCTATGATAAAAACCTCGTTATTTAAATTCGAAAACATATTAAGAATTTATTGTTATTATTTAACTATATTACTTTGAGCTGCTCTACGATCTATTTACAAATACTATTTTCTCGTTTAATATACAAGGCCAAAAACTTTATATCTTTCACTTTGTCGTAACTGCATCAGTTACAACACTTAATGAAGTATTGTATGTATTGATAATAATTCTCATCAAAAGTATACTTTAAAATTTTCCCCGTTCCGATTCATGTATGATTTTTCCTCATAGCTTTATCTTCCAACATTATATGATTATCGTTACACAACTCCGTTTCCTTTTTACACATCTGTCATACAGAATAAATCTTTTGTACAACGCTATTTACTTTGAAACATATTTTCAGGAGATTGCATTGCTGTTGTTATATATGACATATTTTAGAAATAAATTTAGTGTGTTTAGTTTTAACCACTATGGTATCCCCAAATACCTGAGCATTCTTTACTTAAAGAATGAGAGTGTAGCACATAATACCTACTTGTCAATTTGTCAACTCATTAAACTGTTACGTAGATACCACACCAAAATTCAATTAAAAGTAGCTTTTTAAAACCAACCTGTCAGATAAAAGTCTTTCTTCTGCTCAAGGGATCGCATAATATCTCCACTTTTTTAAAGAAAGTTTATCCTTATATGTAAGATGTTATTAGAGCCTTAAAGTCATGTGAAGACACTGGATGATTAGAATTTAATCGTGGGATAGCAGAAGAGCTACAAGAAGATCTGAATTTTTCGGCCATCCTGATCAAGTTCTTTAAAGTCTATGTTTTGCCAATGTAAACAGCCTCTCAATTTCCGCAAGAAAGCTTTTTAATTATCCAATCTTTAATAGCAACCATGTTTTTGTTGAGCTCGAACTCTTTTATCACTTGTTCCGTTACGCCCTGTTTATCTTTATCGTTTTTATTTGCCTATAATCTTAATTTCGTTTAATTTTATTTTTCCGTGTGATCTTATGTTTTTTACTTCTGTAAAAGATAAGTTTACTTTATAATTTGAAGAAAATTGAATGGAATCATTCGGAATCGTCCAGTAAACATTCCACATTGTTTTCGTCATATCCAGGGTCCACATTGTTTCCGTCATATCCAGGGTCCACATTGTTTTCGTCATATCCAGATTTCACATTTCGTTTCCGACCCATGAATGGGACTGAAAGAGCAGATTCTATAAATCTTTTGATTCAACTTGGGTACTGCATCTGCATTTCGTTAATGCTTGAGACATTATTATAGTTATTGCAGTCTAATCAATATTTAACGAGACAAATAAAGTTCGTCTTATATCTAGAGAGTTTCCGAAGTAATCTGTCATGTTGTTTCGATCTTTTCTCTTGACATCATATATTGTAAGCCAGGCGTGGCGGTTAAGTTCCTAAATTGAAACATATTATTATCTTTAACTTCTGATTAAAGCAAACTACCTACATATATCTGAATTAATATAGTTAATATAATATACCAGTCTAACTTATAATTATTAAGATACATACATTCATCAGTTGAACACTCTCTCTGTTAGTGATATTTTCCGCAGTAATTTTTCTAAAAAATTTTCCCTTGTTCACAGGGATCATGTAATGTAAATAATTTTTGCTTGAAAAATAGGCAGATAAGACTCGAAAAGTGTCGCAATTTAACAAGTTTGATGAATAACAATGCAGATATAACAAAATAAAATATTTCTAGCAGAGAGAATGAAAGATGGCTTGGATTGTTATTTTTGTTATTTTCGGTTGTTTTTGAAAGTTCTACTTACTCCTCAGTCTCTGATCACCAATACATGTTACTTATCGTTCTTTCAGAATAATAGAATACCCATTCTTTATTGACAAGTACCAAAGAAATGGTGTTAGTTGAAACCAGTAATGAAATGACCAAACACGTTTAACAACGGGCTCGAAATCGTCTGGATTGCAAACTTGTCACATGATCAAACGAATCCATATAGTGGTACTATTGGAAAAAGGATACATTTGGACAGTCTACAAGAACTATGAGTCGATTTTCCAATATCGTCCATTGTCTATGCAGTACATATAACAAAGCGTGAGAAACTAGTGTAAAGAACTTTAGAATGACTGGAAGGATACTAAGCCGAGTAATGGGTTCTAGGCACCAAAATATCGTAAACTCGATTCACAAGTCAATATATTTTGCTTGATCGTTCTTCTTATTTCTCTGTCTCTTTCACATTGATTTCTACCTTGCAAGATACTATTGGACAATTTTGAATTCCTCCGTCTAATACTCCAGTAACAAGTATATTATAATAAGAGG